CTTTGTGTCATCATTCATAGTGATGCCCTAATCATGATCCCAGAAGACAAGACCTTTTTCTTGCTCAAAGACAAAAAAGATGTTATGGGCCAGGCAGATAAGGTTTTACTTTAAAAGAATTAAAGGATGAGAAAAAAGTGAAAAGCAGGAACAGCAGAACTTGAATGAAACTGTTTGTTGTTGGGAATCACCCCAGAGTAATAATGATGAGACTGTTAAATACAGTATCAATAACAATGAAGAGGATAGAGGAGCAACTGCAGAATCATCATCTTCTAAACCTAAAGGAAGGGCAAGAATAAATATTATCAATCCTGATTTAGCAGTAACTATGGATGGAACCAAGCTGTGTGAGAGAAAGGCAACACTTGTCCTTACTGCCACAGTTCATAGCCTTGGTCATGTTGTGCAAGAGCATCAACTGTTCCTCAATTCAAAGATCTCAACATTGCTTCTGTGAAAAACTTGTCAAAAATGTAAAAAAATAAACAATTCCAGCCAACAGTGTCACTTGTATTTTACTGAAATAGTAAGTTCTTTAATGATCTCAAAGGGAAAAAATAAGTGGATTATCTGCCAGTGACCCTGTCCAAAGTTGATTTCTAGCAATGGAGAGACCCAAGTTTTTGCTTTGGCACAACTGCCGAAAGAATTGAGAGTCACTGATCATGCAAAGGCTGTTTGCTTTGACACAACAGCAAGCAACACTGGTCACAAAACTGGAGCATGTGTGCTGTTATTAGGTTGTCACAAAATTAATGTCACATTTTGAAACACTTTCATTAACCTCCCCCCCCCAAAAAAATACATCATGTATAAAAGTTAAACAAACTGCCTAAATGTCATGTTAGTGTAGCCTATATAATGTGTAAAGTTTAGTATACACTAATCCTTATAATGATGGCACACGACGAGACACACATTCGGCATGTAATGCTGTTTGAATACAAAAAGGGAAACAATGCCTCTGTAGCTACAAAGAATATTAAAGAAGTTTATGAAAATGTTTTGAACATTCATAAGTGCCAATGATGGTTCAGCAAATTT